ACACACACACTATTCTGACCCTTTAAAAATAAGTTGCAGATATCATGAAGCTTCAACTCTAACTACTTCAGCATATTTCTCCTTGAATAAGGACATTCCCCCACGTAACCACACCACATTATCACATTGAAGAAAATTAATGCTAATTCCATAAAATCATCTGATATATATTCCATATTTAAATTTTTCCAACTGCCCCCAATTTTTCTTGGTAGCCTTTATGCAGGGGACAATCAGGGATCATGTCGTGCATTTCATTGCTGTCTCTTTATCTAGAACTGTCCTCTTGCTTTTTTTTTGGCCAGAAAACAAGTCTTAATACATTTAAAAAGACTAAGATCATAGAAAATATGCTCTCTGACCACAATAACAGAAGGGACTTTAGAAAATTCACAAATGTGTGGAAATTATAACAAGACTCTCCTAAGTAAACAATAGGTAAAAAGAAAAATCACATGGAAATTAAAGAGTACTTTGAGATAGAAATTGAAGAGCAACTTATCAAAATTTATAGGATGCAGGGCTCATTCAGGGCTTAGAGGAAAATTTATACTTGTAAACACCTATATTAAAAACAAGAACAATCTCAAATCAGTAATGTAAACTTATACCTTAAGAAAATATTAAAAGCAGAGCATTCTTTCTTGTATATTTGTGATAGTGATTATTGTTTTTTTTAAATTTTTATTTTATTAATTTTTTTTTTTTTTTTTTTTTTTTTCGGTTTGATGGTCATTGCTGGGCTGGCTGCGGATGTGGGGAGGCCTGGCTGAGGCCTTCAGCCCCCCACAGCCCCAGCTCTTGGGAGAGCCCATGGCGCTTCCTGCAGCACCTCGGTGGTCATTGCTGCGCTGGTAGCTCATGTTGAGGGGAGTGACCGAGGCCCGATGCCCCCCACTGCCCCAGTTCAGGAGAGCCCAGGGCGCTTCCTGCAGTGGCTCAGTGGTCATCACTGGGGTGGTTGAGCTTGTTGGGGGTATGTGGCCAAGGCCTTAGCCCCTACCCTTGGGACTGATTGTGGGTATTGGGGGGCATGGCTGAGGCCCCTGGCCCTCCCCTCTTTCTGGCTTGGTAGCCCAGGGGACTTCTGGTCCTTCTAGGTGTGATAGGTGTTCTCTGGTGAAATGAGACCTTTACTAGTTAATATCGAACTTTGTCTCTGGTTGTGGGTACTTTGTTTTTTTTTCAGTTCTGTGTTGGATTATTTGCTTTTCCAGCCACTCAAACTCTGTGCTAGAACTAATTTGCTGGCCTTTGCTTACTTCTAAAATGGAGGAACTTCCTATGGGGAACAGTACTTGAGCTCTGTGGTTGAGGTAAATTGATGCTTTGCTGCTGATTCCCTAGGGAAGGCTTTTTGTGCAGCTCAGGTTTTAATGGTTGACTTTATAGGTGCTTCCAGAGGTAGTGAAATCTGGTGCACCTGCGTTGTATAGAAACTCTGGTCTGGGCCTGGGTCTTTTCGTCTAACTGAACCCCATGCAATTCTATATTCCTGACCAGTCTCCTCTGAGTGGCCCTATCCTAATTGGGGGGCAGACCAGCTGTCCATGCTGTGCCCCAATGTTCCCCTGGTGGGCCCGTCTCTCCCAATGCCCAATTCTGGGAACTGGGGGATATGGTAATAAGTAAAACACATAAATATCATTATTTTCATGGATTTTCCATGCTACTGAGGGAAGAGACAATAAAAAATAAACAAGTAAATAAACACTGTGTTGGGTAGTAATAGATTCTTTGGAGAAAAATGAAGCAGGGTAAGGGGATTGGAAATGTGGGGAGGTGGTGTTGCAATTTTCAGGAGGGTAGAAGCATAACACCTCACCGAAAGGATGTGATAAAGCCCTGAAGAAGGTTGAGGAGCATAAACCATGGAATACAGGGTGCAGTAGTAAGCATTTTAGGCAAAGGGGACTGCAAACACAAAGACCATAGGGCAAAAGTGTGCTTTTGTGCCAACCACAAATGCTTTATTCCAGTCCCCATTAAACCCTATCGTTTAAATGCTCTCAGATCACTATCTTTACCTCTTAACTTGTATTTTTTATTTTTTTTTTGTCTTTTTTCGTGTCCGGCAACGGATCGCAACCCTCAGTGTCGCGCCCGTACCGGACCGGGACCAGCAACGGGATCGCAACCCTCGGTGCTGCACCCGCACCTCGCTCAGCCAGTGAGCGGGAACTGGTCTGTATGTGGGATCCGAACCCTCGGCGGGATCGCCGTCGCGCTTCCCAAGCGGCGCACTATCCAGTGCGCCACCGGGCCGGCCCTAACTTGTATTTTTTTATATTGACATACTTGCAAATATTTGTGATGTAGTGTGTTGTGTCAATACATGCAAATACTGCAAAATTTATTTCTTCAATTGTGATAGCTCTGTACAGCAATTGCTATTTCTTCCGATCTGCGAAGGAGTGCCCTGAAGCGGTCAGCAGTGGGATGGTACAGGTGAGCTGTACCACACACCTCATTCAAGGAGCTTCCCCAGATCTTTGGGCCTCTTCTCCCCGAAGACATTGTCTGCACTCATCTCCAAAGGCCTTTTCACCATTTGCCTTGGTTTAGTCTCATACTAATTAGACCTGTGCTGCCAATATAGTAGCTGCCCAACCGCTAGTATGAATTGGATGGCCTGTAAGTATAAAATGCCAGATTTCGGGAACTTACTGCAAAAACTGTAAAAGTATAACACTTTTACAATAGTGCTTACATGTTGAAATGATGATATTTTGGCTATACTGGGTCAATCAGGATATATTACTAAATTTAATACCATTTGCTTTTTTTTTTTTTTTTTTTTTTTTTTTTTTTTATGTAGCTACCAGAAAATGCATAATTAGATCAATGGCTCGCATTCTATATCAGGTGGGTAGCGCTGGGTCAGGCCCTCACTAGGCTGCGAGTCCCGGGTGGGGAGAGGCCCCAGGCCGCGTCCTGAAGCAGCATCCAGCAGGTAGCTGGCAATTCCAGTGCACGGCTACGGCACTGCAGTGCCCAACGCAGGGTACGAAGCTGGGAACGCCCTGCTGGAAGCCGCAGCTGAGGCGACGCCTTTCGCCCACGGAATTGACGGTGAGCCGAGGACGTGCTGCTCGGGTGGGAAAGCGCAGGCTCAGGGTACAGACCGAGGCGAGCGAGGCGACGAGGATCTGCACCGCCCGCGGCCCGTCGCCCCGCCTCTTTGCGGCAGAGCCCAGGCCGGTGCAAACCGGTTCAGTGTCCTGACGGATCTCTCGCGTCACCCAATCCTCAGCACGCCCCCGACGCCCCACTTCTCAGTGGGGGAGACCAGGAACGTCGAGTCGCCAGCGCCCCGGGAGGTGGCTTTGGACCAGACGGACTGTACTGACAGCCTATGAGGACGGCCGGAGGTGCCCTGGGCTGGCGGAACACCAATGGCGTCGGCGCGGGGGCGGGTCCTCATTGGCTCCACCCCCTCTAGGTCTCCCGGGAGTCTTTGGGCGCGCTAGGAGGCGGGCTGGCGTGGGCGGGGCCTGGTCCAGGCTGGCGCCTGCGCAGTGCGGCGCCGCACGTCCGAACGATGACATAATCTCCGCCCGCGGCCCGGCGCCCCGCCCCGCGCCGCCCTCCG